TGCATTGAAGGCATAAGGGTAATGAGATCAGGGAGACTTAGAAGAGAATTCTTGGGGAACTTGGCATTTAAGACTTTTAAGAACACATAAAAATTTAAAAGGGAAACATGTAAAATACAGTAAGAAGAAAACCCAGAGAGTGTGATTTCACAGGGATAAAAAGAATAGAATGCTATAGGAAGTAAAAATTATCAACAATGTCAAATACTTTCTAAAGTCAGGTAAGGTAAAGGCAGAAATACCTGTTGGAGTGAGCAAATGTCTTAGCAAGAATATTTCACCAAACATTTAACACAACCGCCAGATGACTGACTGCGTGCTGAGTAGTAAGAGGGAGAACATAAAATATACACAACCTGCATTAATGCTTTTCTCAGGAAGTCTGACTTAACTAATAGTAATAAGCATTATTATACCCAATACTTATTAAGTACTTTATTTTCCAGGTATTTGCAAATGCTTCATACATGTTAGTATTTAACCTATGAGGTAGGTGTTAAGAGGAAGAAACCACAGTCATGTTAAATGAATTATTCAAGATTAAATTAATTGTGACTAACTAATAAGTGGCAGATCTGAAATGCACACTCAGCTAATCTGCTTCTGGAGCCACTCTATGAACAAGGGGAAAGAAATAGTTCAGAGTTAGAGGGATGTGTGGTCAAGACAGACTTCTGAGAAAAGAGACTTGCATATATTCAGACACTAAAGTAAAGAAGCCACTGTAGGAGGAATCTTTGAAGAGGCAGAGAGATCAAGAAAGCAGTTCACAGTCATATGAAACCTGGGCAGGAGAAGGGACCCGTGCTACTGTCACAGGAGAGATGGACAGCAAGAGTGCTTACATCAGTCAGTTTGGTGGAAGTAATGGAAAGACTTAGCAGTTGAGGACTGCTATTCAGAGAAAAGGTGTTGGTTGAGACTAAGATAGTGAGTGAGAGTCAGGTATCAGAAGAAAGAAAATATATTTGATATAGTTTCTGCGGTAAATGGAAAAGAAACATAACAAAAGAATTACAGGAATATTGTGACAAATTGAAGCCTCATGGGAAGTTGTGAATCACAAATAAATTTCAGTGTCACTTATCGGAGTAAAGTGTTATTTTTATCCCATGTTTAGCAGCCTAATGCATAGAAGGCAGACAGATGGAAACTCTAATATCATGTTTTGCTTTGTATTGAGTACAACAAGTGAAATGAATGGATTGCTGAGGGTATTGACAAGAATACTGTTGAAGTGGAATCTCTGATGCAAGACACAGTAGACATTTCAAGCAAGGCTGACCAACCTATACACTGTGGCATTAAAATCGAGACTCAGGGGAACCTGGTGACTGCTGACCCTACTATGCTGCTGGATGATCTCATTTTCTTGGTCCTGAAGCTTTTGCAACATTCTCTCATTTTCATCAGTACCTATGGCTATCACTAGGTTTATCTCTCAACTCAGACCCTTCTGACACCTGAATCTTAGATTTCGGGCCCATGTATTATAAAAATGAGTCTATATATCAGACTTTTCTGAATATATTAGATAAAAAGTTGCCTGTCTTCAGCACTATGTTCAATACTAACCCAGTTCTGCTAGATTAGCCCACATTCAAGTGAGAAGGAATGGCTTCCCCATTGAAAAAAAAAAATCTGTATAACAACTGGGAGTGGTGGCCCCTTCGGTCAGGATATCTTTTTACTTTCTTCACATTGGGTCTGAGAAGTAGTGTGTATCATTCAGCAATAGAAAAAAATTATAAATACCTTCCAATTAAAGATAGCACCCTGAACAAACAAGCTTAATCTATCTTCTTACTCTCCTTAGGAAGAAAATGTCAAAACTGAAATGTCAGAAAAAGTGATATGTGGGAAAGAATAATTTTATAACAGTGCTGAAAAACACACAGAAGGGAAGAGCAGAGAGGAAATTTTGACATCTATCTGAAAAATAGCATATTTGAT